TATGTATGTATGTATGTATGCATGTATGTATGTATGTGCCTGTGATCTTATATGAACAGTGTATATGCATGACTGGAATGGTAGTATCAATGACGGTGGCGTATAAAAGTGCCACGCAACATTTTCGACCTTTGGTTTTAAGATATTTGGCATCATTACATACGATTCGAATAAGTATCGCACTCGTTTCAATCAGTATTTCGCCATCCATTAAAAGTGGACAAGGACGCATGCATATAGATATATTGCTGGACATAACATATATATATATATATACTTTATCCCATACTCAAATGCCGAAAATGTAGCGAGCGCACCTGTGTGAAATTTATAGGAGTCTTTTTTGATTGCTCTTCCATTATGCTGCATTTATTACGGTATGCATAATTTCTGATATGGCAGATTTTTCAGTGCAACGTTTGTTGACAAAACCGGGCAGATATTTCTTTGCTGGTTTTTTTCCGGTTTTCTTATAAGTTTTCTGGCGTTTGTCACAAAAAGAGCTCGAGAAAATGCATCACTTCACTCTCATACCATTTTAGATAGTATGAAAGTGAGTGATGCCATTTTTTTGTTGCGCGGTGAATTGAAAAATTGGAAACGAAGGACTGATGCATAAAACACGATTGTGTGAAATCAATGAGTCACTTTTTGGCACATATCATGACTCAATACGTTTGCAGTTCGAATTTGGAATGGTTGGAAACTTTTTCTTCTTTGGTCAACTAAGCTTTGAACGAAAAAAATTTATATCGTTTCCCAGAGTAATATGGCATTTTTTTTCGGGAATTTCTTGTAAAATACGACTTGTTTGAGAAAGGGATAACTTTAATGAATAAGTTGAACAGTAACTTGAAAGTTAATACGATGAGGACTTCATCCCACTAATTAATTATTTTTACCTCAGTTTATTAAATTTGTTAGAAACTTTCCATAATTCAATCACTTAGGTTCCATACCATAAAACATAATTGATTTTATTCAATAACTTGTTACTAACATATCAGCGTGTTTCATTTTTATCTCTCTATAATTCTTTAATTTCTACTTCTCTTTCCTCCGTAAGTTTATCATCTTGACCTATGAGCCCTTTATTCCAACTGTTCTTGGTATCAGTTCGGAAATGGATTCAACTTTTCTGTAGGATAATCCGAACAAACAAATTTCTGCGGTAAATTTAAAATGAAGGTATTATTATGTATTCCGGCAACTGATATTTTATCAATTTCTTAAAAAGTTTCGTTTGCACGTTTTTCGGAAACACAAATACATGGATTGTTAACACGTGGCGATTGGAATTCAAAAGTGATTGTGATCATTAACTTCTTGACAACGTTCACGATTTCTTTATTAGTCCGCTTATTCATAAGCTAAACATTCATAAACAATTGAGCAGACAAGACGACTTCCCCCAATTATTCACGAAAAAGTTCTTTGTTATCTACATAAAAATATGTGAATTAATGAGTAGTTGCGATTGTTTGGCATTAATTAAAATGAAATAGCTATATGAGTACGCGTACCTGAGGACATGTCTGTATACTCTACTAAGGCATATTCAGAGCAGTAAATATTGGGAGATTGGAGTATACCGCACGTACACATGAGCGCATGACAAGGAAACCACGGCTGGGCGGGGCTCCTCGAGAGGGCACATTTGTCGGACTGCCGGATGTTGTTCCGTTCGTGGTGGCGATCATCTCCATTCGAACATCACCTCTCCCAAAATGACTGATGGCTAATCCGATATCTCGATCGCTTTCTTTCCCAGTAAAAGTACCTATCTCTTTGCAACTAATTGATGGGTGAATAACTCGTTTTGTTTTCTTTTTTTGTGAACTATTTGTTTGTGTGCCGGAATTACACGGTATCCTTTATTTGTTTGCCTTTTTTAGTTCCATGTTGATAATGCTTCTAACATTAAATTCATGTTCATTCTCGATTTGGAATCATCAATGCAATTAAATATAATCAAAATCCCCAATGAATTCTTTTCGGATTTGATGTGATTCTTGCATGATGAAAAAATCTGCCGATTAATTTATCGTATTTTCATCTAATGGATGCTTGCACCTATATATTTATTCATTCATTTATCTGTCACAAATTCTGTAATTATACCTTTCCAGATATTTATATTTAAAGTTTATAAATTTCATTAATAATAAACGACAACTTCTCACTAATTTTTTAACATGGAAAAATTGATTCAGATGAGATGATGAATTGTTTAAAAAGAGCACAGTTTTGGCGTAGTTCGTAAATTAGAAGAAATGGAAGAAATTCATTTTTGCTATCGTCCCAAGTAACAAAATTAAGGCTTTCCACTGCTGATAGTTAAATAAATTTTTAAATTGCGAAAACCAAATTTTTATTGTGGAAGTGGTTTATTTTTTCGTGGCTAAAGATAAAATGGTTTTCCAAATTCGTGAAATTGTTTTAAAATAGACAACTGAATAATCAACTAATACATCTTTTCAATAGTTCCTTTGTGTACATTCTGTAAGAGATTGGTGAAAACAAAATTTGTCTTTAATTTTACTCGTTCTTTTCCTCATTCATCTGTCAGTATCGCATTCCTTTCATGCTGGCGGCCTTGCTCTTCCTGGCCTATTCAAGCTTTGAGCCTAAGCACTGTGAAGTGGTCGTTAGTTATCGACTTTTCACTTCAAGTAGAGCAGTGTTGAAGATGTCGTTCTTTTTTTGCCTTCTCCATATATGTTTCACTATCAATAATATTTGGAAATTAAATTAAGAACAAAGTTAAGAAATAATTTCCAAAATTTCTCTCCGATTACAACGAAACAGGTAATCCTGCTGGCATTATTATTCTTCCGGGAAGGAATCTTTAATCCGTACAGTATTATTATTCCTCCACTGCTAACAAACTAGGATTCTGTAACATTTGTGCAATGAACAATTTTGTTGATAAGCAATAATTTTGTTATGTATGAAATGATTCATTTTACACTATATTGAGTTCATTTAGGTTCAGATTCTTAAATTCGATTTTAAATCCTTCATATGAATAGATATATAAGCAAAAAAATCCCTCATCCATAAAGCCATATCACCCTTGTGTAAGTATATTTTGTTTATTTGTTACTTTTTGAGACAATAAAATTTTGAACATTAGAAAATGTCGTTACACGCAAATACTAAATATTTCGATATTAAGTATATCGAAGAACGAAGAATTTTTTTAGGTGATAGACGAATGTGATGGCTTACAGTATTACTGATCTTATATTTTTGACCTTCCTCATAATCTTGAATTGTGCGCAAGCTCTCATAACAACGAAAGGACGTCGTTTCATTGTCGATGAAGGTGACAACGTTGAATTACCCTGCAATATACGTGATATTGGTATGTTTATGTTTATCCTAGAAATTAAATAGTAAGGTTATATGAAAGGAATAAAATAAAATAAAATCCTCGACAATAAAAAAACGGTAGTATGATTAACTTAACTAACTTTCTTTCTGTCTAAAACTCCGTTAAAATTTGCTCAAAAAATTTACTACCTGTAAAGGCTTTCATAAAGGTAAATCCTTCTAATTTTAATAATCTATAGGGGAAGATACAGTGGTGATATGGAAACGAGGAGAGCTAGTATTGTTCACTGATGAAGAAGTCTTTCATGAGGATCAACGATTCCAATTGCACAGGAAAGATAATGTTAGTTTCTACTTCTTGAAGTTAGTTGCGAATTATTCGTGGAATCTGTGTGCTCCCTTTTTTTCAAATATTTAGATTTAAACTTTATAAATTGCTTTACAAGATTGAAATTTGCTTCTTCGTTCTCTCATGTTTTCTTAAGTTACAATGTCAGCTTGACCGAAAAATGGTTTTTCAAGTATTTGTGGGATATTGCTACTCTCCCATCGTATTGTTTCAATGGAAATAAATGGAGTATCTCGTTAGAAATTCTCATGGGAGTTTCCAAGTGTCAACAAATTTCATCAATTTCCGTTTATTACCTTGTTAATTAAATGAAGTCATCATAAATTTTCTGGAATTACAGTTTTTGGAGTACAATAAAAATGGAAAGTTTTCCAAATATCACATTATAACAAAGATTTCTATGGATAAAGGCAGTTATCAGAAACACTTTTTTCTTGTTACAATGCATCATTTGCACATAATTAACCGTCTAATCTTAACTTCGTTAAATTATAAATTCACAACGCTAATAAGAAATTAAATATACTGATTCAATTATTCCTTCTTCTATATGTATTATTGCTATAAATCTTATCAATTTCTAGCATCACTTCAGTCACTTCTGTTGTTTTTAAAAGCATAATTCTTTCACATTTTTTTCATATTTTTATTTTTCACACTATCCTTTCACATTTTTAGTTGCTACCTTTGCGATGTTACCCCAAATATTTATAATTCGTCGTATATCTCAGATTATGACCTTTCGTGTCCACATTTAAAGAACTTTTATATCCCGGTGGCTTCTGATTCTTTTCAAAACATACATACGATACATTCTTTTTTTTTTTTGAATTTTACATAAATGCTAACAAAAACCATCCCGCTATATCTTTCATTCTCAGCTTTTTACACAGTCATTTCAAAATAACAGAAGTAGCAGTGAGGTATTTGGAAAAAATATATGCAATTTTTTTCTTCAATTTTCAGGATATAAAACAATACTCATTGTTTCCAGCCATGAATCAGTGAATTTGTCAGAAATATAGTTTATAGTTTCCAAATCTCTCACTATCACAAATAAACCCATTAAAATATATTTTTAATATTTTTATCAACAATTTTACAGAATTTTACATTGGTTATCGAACGAGTAGAGCCATACGATGGCGCAAAATATGTTTGTGAAATAACATCACCTGAAATGTCAATAACGCATACATTGGAAGTGAACGGTGTGATTTTCATCCTTTCTAATTTCATCTGATCAAACATGAAAGCATTAAAAGCTCGTGTCTACAGTAGAAGAAATATTTAGCTCCAAGTAGAAGATATTTATAAGCAAACTATGAAATCGAAATACGAAGAAGACAATAAACTTTTTCATTTCAAATTAGAATTTAAAATTTGCCGATTTATTGAACTATCTGAGCTATAGTAAAATAACGACAGCAATTAAAAGTGGTATAGCCATTGGTTTCATGCTAATTTCGCAAATTCCTTTTTTTAAACCAAGCGTTTTAGTACATCCTATGGTTTCTATATCACCGGATACAAATCCACTACTGGTAAATATTGGCGAAAATATGATTATCAAATGCTCAGTATCTGGTAATCCACCACCAAAAGTTACATGGACCCGACAAGTTTGTAGATTTGTTTTCAAACTTTCAAAATTATAATTTAATTTTTCGTTGATGCTTGTCTTGACTTGAATTATTCAGAATTATTAAACATTAGACTATTAATGGAATGGATCACAGACAACTCTTTGATCCGAAGTTTATCTCTAAACTGTACCTTCGTTTTGCAGATTTTTTTATTAGCTTTATTTTAATTCATTTATAGGATGGTCGAAAAATGCCGGCAAGAGCTACATCAAAAGACGGGCAGCTGAGAATAACTCGTGTAACGGTGGATGATAGCGGTGTCTATGAATGTACAGCATCAAATAATGTCGGCGTCGATGCGCACGATACCATCGAAATTCGAGTGCAAGGTAATTTTTCATTTCTTTATTTCAAAATTCCAGATCAAGATTTGCACCATCAATGACAGTTCAGTAAATTTTCATATCTATTCCGGAAATCTTGAATTAGAAATTAATGCATTCCACATGTCCAGAGCTAAGTGAACTTGCTTCTTGCATAAGATACTAGTGTTTATTCACGCGTAATTTTGGTGCAAATTTCGAATTTAATGGAAATGACTATCCGAAAGTCATGTTTTGTGATACAAATGTGGATGCATGATGCAATTTTTAAAAGTTTAATTGTCTGTAAAATTGCATGAATTAGGTATGGAACTCACGATGTCGTCTAATATCCATTCTTTATATGTTCAGTGAACTGAAAATAAAATAAAAATATAGTTGCTCCCATGCCGCTACTGATAATATTTTTAAAGAAATGAATGACCTAATTGATATAAATTATAGTTAACGCCGTAAGAAGAGATGAATCAATTATACAGGTAGGTTAATACGGGGAAGACTTTTAAACGAAGTTTGAATAATGCATGTAATATAACATACATTTATTACGGAAATTTTTTCATATACCCATCCATCACTTATTTAAAAGTTTCTGATAAAGGTGATTTTAAGTATTTTAAGAGCAGCTATTCATTCCTCCCTTAACTTTCCTGTAAACAGCCACCGCTGGCTTTTTCAAAGTATCAAACATACAGATATACGAAATTATCGCTGAGCCTCTGCTCTCTCTAGATTCCAATTTATTTATTGATTTCAAACTTTTTTTTTTGTTTTTCAGAAACAAAATATGCACATTCGGAAATTTGTGAATTGGCTGAAAGTCAGCCTAGAAAGTATTCTTGCATAAAATTTCGCATAAACTCATCAGAAACAGTAGCAAATATGCTCTCTTCATCAACCCCATCCATCTACTGATATTTTGTTTAGAAAAAAATTTTTTTAGAAAATCTTAAAAAACTGACTTCAAAAAGAATCAGTCTTTAATTGAATCGTCGCAAGAAATGCAACTACCGGCGTGAGTATGATCGTTAGCAATAGTGATAGAACTTTCCTGGATGAGGTACAAATGGAAAAGATGAGTCGGAGTAAATCTTTAAATTCCTTTAGGTCACTGTAGTCCAAATTTAGCTCTAGAAGTAATGAAGGAGGTATTTTCAGAGTTTCGTTTCTGTAATAGTTTGTATTTTTACTTTCAGTGAGGAAAATTATATGAATAAAAGTAAGTCTGTTTTTGAGTGCTACAAAAAAAGCACATTATTTGCTGTAAAATGCAGTTGAAAAAAAGAGGAAAACTGCGCTTTGTTAACCTTTAATTGACATTTTGTGACTAGCATGGTGTGATCCGAAAGGGAAAATAAATGTGCTGCTAAGATTCAATTTCAGGAAATGTCAATTTTTAATTTGAAAATTTGTTTTTGAATGGATTTTGCATTGTTGGATTTGCTTAAAAAAACAGCATTTTAAAAAATATCGAAAGTTTCGACTGTTTTAAATGTCAATTTCGTAACCATTTTGAAATTAATCGATTGATTTTATTGTTATTTCAGCGGATCAGTACGGAACGCATGAGCCGTGTGAGTTTGCATTCATTTTTTCATTATTTTCAACTAATCTTGCATGCTTCTGTCCATTTATTCGGTCTGCTAGTGCAGAATCGGATAATTTTACCAGCAAATTTTATTTGTTTACTGATTTATTTGAAATTATATTTCCTCGTGCTGTTCTTGAAAAGCGAATATTGTCTTTAACTCATGGGAGATAATGATGAAAATATGCCGATCATTTTTGATAAGCTGATGAAAATATGTTCATAATTAAAAATTTTAAGTAAATTATATTATTTGCGCTATTGTGACCATTAATGATTATATGCAATTATCAAACATCTTAAGTAAGATTTTTTAGGAACTGAAGTTTTGAATTTCTTACTATTTATGCAAAGGATTTAAAGTTTGTTTGTTTAATGATGATTACTATAATTGGGATTTCTTTATTTTTTACGGATGTTAAAATAAAAGGCCAACTACCGACGCGAACGATTATGTGACTTTTGTATTGATTTGTATTTTTTTCTTCGTTTCCATTTCTAACAATAAACAATCAACAGTAGATTCCCTTCAAGAGGGTAAACAAATGGATTCATGAAGATCGATGACCATTCACTTCACTCATCTTCCATCCTATTTCTATTGACCCCTCATTTGTTAAAGTCGGCACATCCTTTTTTAAGGCTAATTAATAGCAGTTGATCCCCAAATGAAAAGCAAGTTAAATGGTTACTTTAATTGTATTTTTACCTCACATATAGCAAATGTTTTTTTTTTGGTAAATATTTTTATGACAAGGACAAGGCTACTTTGTATTATCTTTTCCATTCCAAACCTAGTTTATAATCGGAATTCTTACCTTGGACATCTTTTCATTTCCTCTCAATCTGTTTGTCATATTCTCTGCAAATATATGTTTTCATATCAGTATTTTATTAATGTTGAGCTCCACAAGAGAGATCCAAAATATCGGAAATTCATGAATTCCTTATGATTTATTCTTAACGTGATCACGATATGCTGCCGCTTTTACCCACATATTATTATATATCATACCAGAATTAAGGGAACTTTTTTTGTAACATAGCCGATATTGTTGGTAAGTTTGATGATGAACAAATGTCTAAATTATGGATTTCCCCTTCAATATTTTATGCTGCAAAATCGTCAGTTTATTTTCAAAATTCCGCTAAAATTTAAAACTGCTTACATCATTATGGCTTCTTTTTTTCACCACACCAGTACATTTTGAAATTTTAACTATTTTTCGAATGTCTTTTCTGAATTAAATATACTCATAGCAGGAATTTTTTATCCATCTCTCTTTTCCATCTATCATATGCTTTTGGTGAATTAATTTGAATTCTGAGCATTATTTATTATTAATATTTTTTCTCATACACTAATACATTTTGAAATTTAGATTGTTAAATTTAATATTCAGTTAATCTGTCACATCACACACGTTATCAAACTGTCCGTTTTTTTTTTCACTTCATTAAACAGTAGAATTAAGGGAATTATTTTTATAACGTAATTCCAGTTTTTCTCATTCAGATATTTTTTAGTTCTAAGTAAAAATTACAAAAAAATAGCCAATTTAATGGAATAAATTTTTGTATTTTTAGCAGCACCATGGGTGGATTCAGCGTATTCATACATACCGGTAAGACTAGGTCAAGATATCAATTTAACCTGTAAATATAACGCCGAACCATCACCTCAAGTTGATTGGATTTACAATGGCTTCACAATCAATGTTGGTTTTTCAATTCTATTTTTAAGCACATTGTTTCATGTGTTGCTTGTGAGTTATTCTGGATTTTTTTTCTCTTAAGATACGTTTGTTACTAGTTTTCTAGGAGAATGATATGAATGGGTCTTTCGCATCAGAACATATTAATGAATTGGTAACTTCTCTGTTGCTTGAAATTTTTGACTAGTACATTGAATTTTTTCTGAACAGAGATTAAAAAAGGCATCTTTTAAATTTTCGCTGTACTTAATTTCCTCTGTTGTTGAAGTTGAGAGGGCATTGTTAACGATGGTGAAAAATGTTATGTAGTTTCTTATCCTTATTAGTTAATCAGTTAATAACACAACTTAAAAAAATTAAATCTCGCCTTTGCTTTGCAATATTTTTTGATATAATTTTAAAAGCCTTGACAGCAATTTCTCTCAAATTGCTGTTAACAGAGCTGTGCTGTGAGTCGTTTGACGACACTGAGGATGACATGGATCATTAATGACACGACACGGCACATCCTCGTTGCCCTTTATCCTTTGCAATGAGCAAATGCAGAGGATGGACGACATCTCATGCTGCCCGAGCAGATGTCGCCTTTTTCCTTCCTTTTCTAATGTTATTCATGCATGCGTCGTTTGGAGGGTACACCAAATGAGTAAAGAGATTAAATTTCGAATAAGCTGTAAGCAGATTAAATAGCTCTTATTACTGCCACTGCTACACCCCAAAGGAGGTAACAAAATAGTGCCATCAAATTACATCACCAAAATTAGTCCATGTCCAATTCAGTCCATCAGCACATCTGGACAAAGTAAAAATGAGACAAATGATTTTAACAAGTTGAAATTATCAAAAGTTAATGAAATGCTAGAAAAGATGATGACCTTATGTCATTATAAATCTTACACATATATTTATTTATTTATCAATTTTTCACGTGTTGATTGAAAAATTCATTGCTGTTAAGTGGTGAGAAGATAAAGTGAAGGAGCAGATGTCATTTGTGATGGGTTTGATGTGTTTGTGTTTGGGACTGTCTGTTACTGCAATGTGTTTGCGCCCATTTCCTGAGATGAAAAGGATGAGCAGATGAGCGTTCTCATCGTTCACTGAACTGTTCAAATCATTCAAACATGCAAGCTGGACATCAGCCGGAATGAATTATTTTGAATTGGCTTCAAGATGTAGTGATAGTTATTATCAGGAGTAATCTTTACTCCCCAGTCAAATGCATTAGGAAAACATCAAGTAGGCAAATTTTGCCCATTGTAATTAATGATTAGGAATAATTAACAATTAAGAAAGATTGACCGGTAGCAGATCTGTTGTTTTCATAACTGTTCATATATTCAAATCTTAATCAAGTTACATACGATTACTCGTAATATTTGCTATTTCAAGACATAGTGGGCAAACGCATGACCTTAAAGGATTTTATCATTTTTGAAATCTTTGACCTATTTTTCTGTTTTGAAGTTGCAGCTGTTCTTTACAGTTTTCGGACGACAAATTCAAAGGTTTAATGCAATATGCTGCCAGGCGTGATAATTACAGTGAATCCATCCTAGCAATCGAAAATATCAGAGAAGATAATTTTGGTGATTACACATGTCGTGTAGCAAATAATCTTGGTATAAAAGAGAAGACCATTTATGTTAGCGGTTAGTTCTTTTCAAATGTAATTCGTTAAAACTCGTCTAGACATTTTGCCGACTGATTTTTTTTGAATTCCGATTGGAGTAAGCTTATGAATAACTTGCTCGAAATTTTTTGTACAAATAAGTCTAACTTTCACCAATCGATTTTCGAGAATATTGAAGTATAGCATAAAATAAGATGGTTAATTAAAATGTTATTGAAAAAATGATTTATTAGTTCATAAAATGGGTGCAAAAATAATAAAAATAACCCCGTGTGGCAATCATTTTTTATTCTATATCGGTGAGCAATTAGGGATTTAGACCATGCAGATGGAAATGTGCAACACAGTTTTAAAAATGATTATAGCAAAAAAAATAAATTCTTTTTTTAAATGAACCAAAGCAAGCTTTATTTTAAAATTAAAAAAATCTTTTCTACAATTTTTTCTTTTCTATTCATCTGTCGGTATGTTTAAAATACATCTTGCGAGGGGACAGATAATCTTGAATCTAGCATTTAAAATTTGAAATTGAAATATTTGAATTGTATCATTTTATAGGTCGACCAGGACCACCTCATTTAAATGCAAGTGGAACTGTACTTTCTTGGAACGTACATTCAGTGGATCCAATTATTGAATATCAGATCTTATATCGATTCTCCAACGATGATACATGGCAGCAATTTAAGTCTATAAGAGCAAATAAAGGTTGTCTATTCGAAATTTTCGAATTTGTACTACCAATGCAACTAATCCAAATCTCAATTCTTCTCCCAACACTCTTTAGAATTTTCAAAAATTTCATTCCAATTCCCCTTTCTCAATTGAAAAATGTCTATATTGAAGAAGAATAAAGTAGCTTCAACACACTTTTTATCACTTAAGCATTACTTGAATTGAAATGAAAAGCGACAAATTTTCAAGACTTCTCCTCAAGACTTCTTCTTTTGTTAAATATGACTAAATAATTCAGAGGAGCAGGATGGTGATATTTGGAGCCGGAGCGAAAATTTGGTTTGGTTACGGCCAGGCTTAGAATACGAATTACAAATGAAAGCACGAAATACACTAGGATGGGGCTCTTTGGCTCGATCTTATATTACAATGAAAATACCATTCATTGACAATGTGACCAGTGATAGTAAGTATTTGTTTCACTTCAACTGGCAAACGATTTCAAGATATATTCGGATTTGCTCCACTTAAATTCATTTTCTGCATCAAGAAATTTGTGAAAATAGCAGACCCATCTTGTTACATACTAATTCGTACGGTCATTTGATGCCATCTTAATTTTTAATCTTATAAGTGTTCAGTCATATATGAAACACTAAGTGCTGTGACATTTTCGGAAAAACTCAGAAAATAACTATTTGTTGTTGAACTGCCCGTGTTTGGTTCATTTAATTCTCTAGATGAAAGTTGTAGTACTCATTTCATTTTATTTCAAATTTCTCCAGTTACTTTTTCCACTCTGTTTTGATATTAAGCGGTCGCTACTTCTTACACTACTGAGATATAAATTTTGAATTTCATAACCTTTTTGAATTTTGCACTAATTTCCTACTCTATTTCGCGCACTAATTTCCTACTCTACTCTATTTTCCCCAATTAAAATTTAAACAAACAAAAAAAAATATTTCTTGATGAATTATTCAATTTATAATTAATCACACTTGCAGAAATCAATTCAGTAAAGCGGATATATGCGTCACGATCATCATGTTTGTCCACTGTTTCATTTATTGCTGCAACGATTTTCCTGTTATAATTTTCGCTTCGTTCATTGATATGCAAAAAATTGGTACTTTTATTGGTTCATCACTTTCAGCATCGTATTAACCGCTGATATTAATTTATTGATCAACTGTTTGTCAGTTTACATAGATTTTTTTTCTTATTAATTATACAATGAAAGAATATTGAATTGGACGAAAATTTTCTATTTTCTTGTAGAAGTTTATAGTTTCGAGAGTTAATTTTTGTGATAGTGGTTTTGAAAAGTAATCTGAAAGTAACTAATTTTTGTGTGGTAGATGAACCAAACCCCGAGGTTGAATGTTTAGGATTTTTCTGTTGCTTATTTTACTTTCCTAAATATAAGTAAACAAAATATATGTATGTAAATGAAGTTTTTGTTCTTGTTGATTTAGTATTATTGGCTGGCTTTCTTTGTCCAATTGGTTGAATCTTTTTTTCTGCATTTCTTGTCTATTATGATTCATGTTTCTCTTTGTGCAATTTCCATTATACTTAATATTGATTTTTACTTGAATGTTTGGATTTTTAGCTCTGTTTGAGATATATTACATTCACAACTAAGCGGTACTACATTTGCATAATTTAGAATTCAATATTTCGAAAGAGAAAAAAAAATTCAAACATTTTTCTTTTTATTGGTTGTAAAATATCTGTTGGAATTTGTTTTTTTGAAAAGGATTTTTTTCGGTGCAGTATCACAGCTGTCAGATTGATGAATTATGTATGACATGATTTATCATTTCCATATGCCACATGATCACAGCAAGCGAAAGGAATTACCCTAGTCAGAATTCTAAGGCAGCTTTTTAATCACCTATCTGACAGATTTTGATATTAGTTTTCTTTTCATGCTTGATTTTGTTGTTAAAATTTTCTGTGGCATCTAGTACCGCTTGGTGAGGTGCGTTATAGTTTTAAGATACTGGGCCTTATTTCATATTTAATTATATTACTGGTGCGTTACCTTTTTCTTCTATTTTTTTTTTAATAGTGATTCATACTTTCCTTTTCTTTTAATAGATTTTGTAATAGTAGTGAATTCAGCAGATAAGAAGACAAAGGAATATTATGTATTTATAACAAATACGCCAGTTGGAAATGAATAAAACGAGACAAAAAAGCTTAATGTATTCATTCAACACTTGGGTTTCAAAAAATTTTCAGGTTTTGGAGGCTGCTGTTAAAAATTTATGCAGTTCTCCATTTTATTGGTTCATTTAATCAGACTAATTTTTTTTAATAAAATTGTTAGTATGTTATTTAAAATTAAATGATTGACTCTACGAAGAATGCTATATGATTAATTACCCATAGAATAACGCATTTTAATTTTTCTAAATATTATATTTCGATATGATAAAATATATCTCGTGATGCTTTTCTTAAGACTTTTATATGTTATCTATTATGGAATGCCGAATATTTGAAATTTATTCTTTTGTTGTGCTTCCACAAATGTTGAAATTATTGATTCTCTGTTGGCTAAGTGTCTCTTCTTTCTTTTAACATCAAAATCCAGTGAAGTAATATACCTAGGATTTCATTCGAGAAGTAAGAAGTTTGAAAATTCCATTAAGGACACTTTCATAATTGTAGACTGACTGACTGGGACAATTGCGGTGAATTTTGATATGTTTTGGAATTTTTACTAATCAGTTTCTATATCATGTACTTGAGATGAAATTTTGGATAAGAGCTATTTGTAACGTTAGTTGATTGCTTAAAAATCAAAGTAAAATAACTATTTCTCAATTAAAAAATCAATAAAGATTGTTTTGACAGGCTTATTAGACTAACACATTCAACAGCTTCATATTATAAAATGAGTCCAATACTAATTTTACAAAGAGCCAGCCACATTCAATTTAAGTTTAAAAGTTGAAATGAAGTGTTATATAGTATTTCGGAAATCTCTCAGTTTCATCATTAAATGCCCTTTAAAATCACAAGCGTATGTTAAATTTCGTTATATCAAACGTAGTCTTTTCAGCAATGACTGAATAAAAAAAGTAATGATAGCTGGGAATTGTCAATAAGGTTTATGTTATTATTCGATATTGATCATTAATTTTAATTATAACAAAGAATAAGTTGGTTTTTGCTTCAGGCTTTCAATTCGAAGTTTTTCAACTTTTCCATGGTCCATTACTTTATAATAGTTTGCTGTAAAGATGTTAGATCAACTAATAAATTAGTTGAGTCAATGGAAAATTTCAGTTCCTTGTAAAATAGCAATAGGATTTTCAGTTGTTAGACATTTCGTCTTGTTTTTTCAAAAAAAATGATTCTCCTCACGCCCATTATTACGAACAACAGATTACGTAAAATTGCTCTATAGATATCACAGTCCAGTAATGAATCGGTTTATAATGTTTGAAAGAAAAGCAATAGGAGTTAATGGCTTGCAATTAGTCCAATCAACTTGATGCATCCAATTACCAATTATCCTGAAATATATAATAATGCCATAGTTCCTGTGGGTATGACGTGACCTGTGTTCGAAAATGATCTTCGAATAAATTTTGGGAAAAAAATTAGCTCAGAAAATTCGTGTATGTATCCTTCATTTTTGAAGCGTTGAATAAGCTCATTTCGATAGTTGGCGTTAAAGTACGCCAAGTCACGAGTCATTGCAACCAGCGGAAATTTCGCCCAATTAGTAATTACAATGTACTCATATTGTCCACTTTCAGCATTTTTTGGTCCTGTTATCACAATTTGATCTGAAATTTAAACTGAATTACTAGTTTGATAAGGATGCTGCACAGTTCATTGTCAAGGCGCTTCTGAAAATATCAAAAATTAATTATGCAGAGATAGCTAATATCTCATTCCTTTTTATAAATATCAATTCTTTTGAAGTTATTTATGCTATTTGGGTATCAAATGAATAGCGGTAGGTATGCTACGTTGAATTCCGTCATAGATGTCAAAATTCATTCAATATTTTTAATTTGAAAGTCAGCTCAATTTGAATGCAATGGTATAACGTGCAGTGAAAGTAACTGATAAAATTTCTTGAAAAAAATCATAGGGATTAAATGAAAACATTTTTGAATATGAAGAACTAACAAGGACATGGATCTTCCTGAACATAAATGTAAACTTTTTTGTTGTGTATAATACCGTAGCCAAAGCCCATTTTAGAAGCACCGTGGGGACCATTAACACGGAATGAATCCATTTTTGAGAAAATTAATGTATTTCCTATTTTTGCCAGATTTTTAACTGCAATTGTTACTTTAACGAAAATTATAACGGGAAAACAATACTGAACCAATAAAGGGAGGATGAAAGAGAGCAGCTCTGAACAGTCTTGAATTTTTAAATTTTACATTTAATCTGATAGTTTAGCGGTTTAGTCGAAAAATTAAAAGAAAACAAAGAAATAGAAGCTAACACTCAGTGGTAGGACAATAACGATCATGCACTCCAGCTGTGGAGATTACCTGCAAAAAATGATAACCAGTATCCAGTCATCGTTATATGAGCAAAAAAAAGGTAATAAGCAATTAGTTTATTACACTTGTGTTGTACTAGATAACTGATTACCACTGATTATATACATTTTTTTCTATCCGGAACATTATTTTTAGATGTAAAAAAGTTAATAGATCAATCTTATCTCAAAATAATTAGCTATCACTTTAATAAAATTTGAAGTAATTGTTACATTTCCATATAATTTCCTTTTTTCCAAATATTTTTTGGATAGTTTTTTAATTTATGACTGGAAGAATCGTAACTAAAGCAAATCTTTTACCCAGTAATACTTTCCTATTAAAGAGTTCAAATCGATTATTGGCGTTTTAACTAAATCAGAAAGATAATCTTGCGCTCCAGGTATGAAACGAAGGAAATTCTGGAATAAGCTTGGCGAACGTTGGTTGACGAATGGTGTTCGATGAAGCAAACATCCACCAAATCCCGGAAAACTGCCAATAACACCTGGAACAGCTGGAATACCGTCGAGAAGCGCTACTTGAGGCAGTGGTTTCCGTAACCTGCAATTAATATTTGATGATATGTCATACAAAAGTAGAAATAAAGATTTTGAATTTACTAAATGTCTTCTGGAAAATATAAATATGGATTGTGGCAACAGCTTTTCTTCTATGGTCGCAAGAACTGGTCAGAATTTCTTTGGCTGCATTTCACAAAATTGAATATACAAACCTTGAAGTCAATGGACACGATCGAAGTGTCACTGACTTCTATGAAAAACTGTATGCAATGCCTTTTGCGCCATTATTCAAAATAATAAAGAATATTCCTAACTCTTTGCAATCGTAATAGAAGATTCACCTTTTATTGAACTGATTGTCTAGATTTTTCTGCAAACCTTGAATGAAACTGATAAGAGCAAAGCTCTGACTAAAAGAATACAAAAATTTCAAAAATGTAGTGCACTTTGTTATTGTACTATAGCAAGAAGTATAAATTATAAGTAGGATTAGATATTCAATGTTTATGAACATGATTTTAAAATGATTTCATATGTCAGCGTCAGTTAATTTAAAATAAAAAACAAATTTATTTCTATTAAATTCTTTCTATGAAAACGAATCGAAATTGATGAGCAGATAGAATGATTCCCTCTATGAGAGCCTTGTAAGGTTGCAACTGCAAGATTTGGTAAGTAAATATGGAGAAAAAAGGAAATTATTGTCACCTGGTAATATCATCAATTGGGATACGATCACTCACCGTACCACTTTGTCCTGTATTTATGCCAAAGAAATCTAATAAATTGCTATATTGCGCTAAAATTGGACAGCAGTACTGAACTACGAAAATAACGCCAATGACAGTGTCTGAGTTGCACCGAAAGGTCATGACAATGTTTTGGTTACAAAGGACTATAATGAAAATATATTAATCAGTGTGATACTAATTGGAATGGATTCCACATGTTGATGCCGTCAGATTTATCTGAGAGTAAACAATTATGTGAGAATGGGTAAACTCAACGAAAATGGATATAACTTGCAGAAACGGGTACATAGACTTTTAAGACTGATAGAAGTCTCCGCAAATATGTCAGTGATATCTGTGAAATTCAAACAATGATTGTGTGTCATTGAATGGGATCTTCTTTTTATTCGTTTAAACAACGCTGAAAGTAAGTTAGTAGAAATTAGCTGTGGCACTTGATTTCGTGCATTTTTTCCAATATTAACTATCAATAAATGTTACCAGTATAAGATTAAAATTTTGCTCTTTGAAATTTCTTTAAAACATAACTATATATATATATATATATATATTGAGGAAGTAATAAATTAGACATCATTATGAAATACTAAACCAGGACAGATTAATTGCAGCAAATTATAGGTAGCGCGGTCGTTTTTCATTTCAACGATTTCATTTTCAAATGATTCTAATTAACAGTGTCACGATTAACTTTTTTTCCATGAATATACAAACTTAAATAATAAATTAGAAGAAATTTTAACCAATAATCATATAAGTCCAGACTTATAGCAACTGCTCATTAAGATATTCAAACTAAAAAAAATCTTTTGTCTTTCATCAGAACACGTTTGAAATATCCAATGAAATTTATTATCAAAAATTTACACATGAGTGTTAAATATCATTTGAACTCACTAAAACTTTGAGCTTTAAATCATTCTTCAGTGAAAATTTCAATTTTTTCCAGCAATTTTAGTCTTTCTTGCAGTTTTCAATGCTTTAATCCTTTTTTATTTCTACAATTCATAGTTTTTAACTTAAGTAGAAAACTAATAAGAATTCCAATATATTTGCATATTGTTTCCATAATAAATGTTAAACCACAGAGCAAAAAAGAACAAAAAAATAGTTAACGAAACTTTTCCATTATTATTTTTATCTCTTATTTTAACTTAGACAAGAAGATGACTTTCAAACACATCATTAATTCTTGGCAATCTACTCAATAAATATATGTTGAATGTTTATGAACTATTTACAGGACAGCAGCAGCAGATTAGGAGATGGAAGAAGGAATAAATAGTCTTTCAAATTAAATAATTCACAATAAGACTGATATAATTGATTTTTTTCTACTGACGGAACGTAAATACTTGATAAGAGTAGACAGCAGTCCAATGTAAGTTTAAAATTCAATTTAATGATATTAAAAAAAATAAGAAAAATACTTTATTATTTGCAGCTAATCCCTGCTGTCATTTATTTATTGTTATAAAAATTGGCATACAGATTTGAAACTTTCGAATTTGCTGTTTCAATTTTTAACAATTTAAGGGTAAGAAAATGGTGTAGAGAAATTAAAGCTGGTAAAAATTATGCCATAATAAAAATGCATTTGGATTTGTAACCTTTATACATCTTTTTTAAATCATTCTTTTATTCTGTCTCTTGAGTTAATTCGCTTTTTTTTTAAATTTTACGAAACTTGTGTTTTCAATCAATTTGTCTAGAAAATTAAAATTGTAAGTTTTCGTGAAAACTGATTTGTTAGCTTCTTATATAAGGAAGTTCATTTTCCGAGTAATCTTATTTTAGTTATGATATATCAAAATTTAAATTTTCACCAGTATCAAAATTCTTTATAATTTTTTTTCAAACCTTCCAGGACCTTTTCCATTATTGCTCTAATTGCTATAAAATGCCAACCTCAATGCATGTTCTAGGGGCATGAATCTCAAGTGGTTTTAGACTATTAGATAAACTAATTAATCAACGAATCTAATATATTTCTTCGTCCATCTAACATACAGTTTGTCGTGATCATAATTGTAGAACCGCGAAGCCAGGTGAATGGACATTAGCATCTAATTTGCTAATATCCGTAATACCTTGATAGCGGTATAACTTTTTTTTTCTTATGTCTTTATTTTCCCTTTCTATATCCATCTGTTCCGTTCCATTTGATATCATCCTTTCTCTTTAGATGAATAAAGAAGTTCAAAGGGAGAAATGCATGTCAGTACTTCGGGAAGTTCTATTGTCTGCCGTCTGAATCAACCCACATTTCCCCCTTTTTCAACTTTTTCATTCCTCTTATTTTGGAAATTTTATTGTAATGATCTTTGATGATTAAGTTGTCCTTTGTGTTCAAATGTTAGTACTGTGACAGTCAAGAAATGTTTTATCATCATAAAATATTTCTTGAAATATAATTCAACAAAAATTTGACAAAATATCAAAACTAAATGTACATTTTAGTTTCTCTCTGCTCTGTGTATATGCCAAAAAAACAAGTCTTTTGTGCCAACCGTATTTGTCATATCTTTTTGAAAATTAGTCAATATGTGCAGAGTTTCAATCAAAATACCATAAGGTGTGATATGAAGCCAAATAAAAATGAAATTCTGTAATTTAAGAATTAAAACACAATACTTTAAGAATATAGACAGTTCAGAACATATCTCTGTGGATGTCTATCTAACAGCCTAACTATTTCAGCTTCTATATGATTCGATTGACTTTCTTACATTGCTAACACATAGTTTTATAGTAATAAAATCATAATTTTATTTCATCTGTGTTTGAAAACTTAATTACATCTGTTCCAACACCATTCAAGTTATTCTTCGTTGTTTTTTTATGCAAAATATTTCATTGAACAAAGGCGTTTATATTCTTACGTTACCTTTTTTCATAAAGCTCATGTAATCCGTTACGGTTACGTTTCCTTTTCATTTCTTATAACGACATCTAAACATGATGAACCACGTATAAATATGAAATGATTGATTATTTTCTATTAGTAAAGCGACAATTTTAAAACATATGTGATGGTGCAGGATGAACCATAGTACAAATGTCAATCTGTAGTAAATCAAATAGGAATTTGTAATTACACTCAAATGCATTAATTTATTTTGCTGAAATAAAGTTCAGGTGTTTACTGTTTGTGGTGAAAAGAAAAAAATGAATGCTGCGTTTCTGATTTAATGATTTTTTTAGAAATAAATAAATGAATGGTGTTTCTTTATATGTAAAAAATGAATGGATACATGGTGTCTACTGTTCAAATAGTAAATATTTTCATGTTTCAGTTAGTTAGAATTTAATCAGTTCGTTTTTTGTTTTGGTATAAATAATCGATATAGTTAACAAATTTGCATCGTTTTCGATCTTTAGTTAGCCGCATTCTTCGTATTTAATCATCCATTTTGTTAAAAGTTGGTTCCACATAACTTTCATATCATTCAGTGCATAAATTAATCAATCAAGAATTATGGAATGAAATATAAAAACAAATGTTTATCGAACTATATAGAAAACTGGAAAATCATGTTAAAAAATCTTGGAGGATGTTTAAGATATATATTGTTGTAGATTTGATTTGGTTTCCATTTTCTTCAATAAACTATATAAAAATCCTGTTATTATTCTGGGGAAAGAAATAGTATTTGTTTTAATCCAAATAAGCCTGTATATTCCACAATGATTAAAAACTAATGAATATCATTTGCCACTAGCAGACTCTACTTTTAGTCTTTTAAATTTCCATTTTGCAAAACATCATTATCAACTCGTAATTCCATGCATTTTGAAGAGTTCAATAGCGTTAATTTTAACGCATTACTTTGAAAATTACAATGGGGCGTAATGGACGGAATAGGTTGCATTGGAATGGAAAAAAGTGTTGAACTAATTATGATTCTGTCGTGAAAGATCCAATAAACTCACATTTCTAAATTTTAGGAAGAAAGTTAAATCCATAACAGTGTGCATATTTTTCATCATGGATTCATTTGTTTGGTTGATTTTTTGAAGTTTTTTTATATCTTTTTTAATCCTCAAAAAAAATTTTTTAAAAAACAAAGTAAAATTTTTTAAAGGGCTATGGTTAGGCAAGGATTCAAAGATTAGAAATATTTATGATAAAGTGAAAAGAGTGAATGAATTCCATCGATTTGTTTTCTGCAAAAATTTTGCAACTTCAGAAATCTGTATTTCCAGCTTGTTCAGGAATTAACAAATGGTGAGGCAGCAGCAACTAATCTTTGGAAGAATTGCGTAGTATAAACTATATTTCATAATGGTATTTTTGATTTTGTGTCGGTAAAGGATATATATAAAACAAGGAGATACATAAAAGTCTGATTTATAGACAATTACAAAAGTCTCTTTAATCCGCTTCTTTGATATTTCGCAGTCCCCATGAACTAAACGTTCGGTTATATATACAGACATCAGTGAAACAGAATATAACAAGCACGCAAGAAGTCGTTAGCATGCAAGTTTGAATTAGTCCGAAACAACCTTGCTTTTTGTGCAGCTCATAGTTGTCACACTCAAATCACATCCTAACCATGAATGCAAATCAGCACTTCCTAAAGAGACTGATCAACCTCATCTAAAAATTCTGGGCGCTATTCAATCAGATTTCATCATAACACCCGCAAACAATTCTAGAGGTAACTGTCCCACAACGACCAGTGTTATTAGTGTTTCCCGGTGCAGCACTACAAAGAGAACTCGTAAAATCTTCCTCCCAATGTTACCACAAGCACCAGACTCTACCATGTCAATACAACCCCTTGTATTACACCTTCGCTGTCTTAACATTCTCAAAGCCTTTTTCAATTTTAATGAAAAACTTATAGCTATAATTTTTTCGGCTAGAGTTTGTCGTTCCGTGGATGCGAAATAATCATCGACGTGCAATAATTTAAACTAATGTTTGTTAGATTACCGCTTGAATGAAAGTATCATTTTTAAACTTTATATGCATTCGTGTGCGTATGAAACTACAAAAAATGAGCGCATATTCACAAGGGAAAAATATGAAATACAAGCGATAACAATATTGACTCCAAAGGAAAAAGTAATCCACAGAAGATGAGGGAAATGAATGAAAACATTAATTATCA